GCATCATTTAAATTCTCCAACTCAATCTAAAAATGTTGAATTCGTTATTAGAAACAAGAAAACTTATAAAAGATTTTGCAGTAAACAACGTCTGTATCGTAACATTCTCAGTGGTAGAACATAAAAAATTAACATAACAATCGAATAATCATTTCACTAACTCGTAACTATTCAACATAACAATTATTTTAACGAGAATTGATTAGCTGTTAATACAAGCAAGTTAAAAATACACATGATCACACATTTGAAGTACTTTAAATAGATGGTGCATAGAATTATTGCTTAAATATTATTAAGATAGCTAAATATCATGTTTACATTATTTCCTTGCGAACAAAAACAAAGTGAAAGCAAAGTGGAACATGGTACCAGGCTGTATTAGGCGTTACGATCGGCGTTTAGTAATCAATTATTCACGCATATAACCTATTACAGTCGGGCGTGCCTTGAAAAATTTATACGCTAACGCAACAATAAGGGAACAAAAAAATGATAACGAAAATGCGATTACCTGTATGCGAGGATCTAAAGCTTCGTCAGCGTTATCCGCAACGTCCATTCTTCACTCCCTTTAACACTTAAAGCAACTTAAATAACGCGAGAATTCAATCCATTCTGAGTTTCTATGCATGTAACGATCGTCCGAATCATGAACAACTTTTATAATTGATGCCGAACGGAATGATTAGCTGTCATTCACATTTTGAAGGGAAACAATGCTAAACAATTACAAGGAACATCGCAGACACTTGTGAATGAATCAAACCGTACTTCATCGAATTGCCTGCGTATACCCAGCTGCCAGCTAAGAGCGAGCTATTGTAAGACGAGGTACGAGAGGAACCTGTAATAATTTCATGGAACTTTCTGCAACTGAAATACCGATCACATAAAAGATTAAAAAATTGTCAACGAATTTCGACATTTTATTTATAATTACTAAACAATTGTCCTATTGTAGTCTCATATTAAAAATATTGTTCGTTAATCGTTTAATCAATGTACTTAACAAATTAAACGTTGACATAAAGTAGAATGTGTACAGTTTTCTGAAAGAAATTCTCATTGTTATATTAATATTATCTTTACAAGGAATTTTCATTGTTTTATTGATTAAAACATACAATCGACAATCCTATTTTTGTTTTGTGTGCATCATACCATCAGAGAGGAAATGACCACCCGGGATTTGTATGTTCCCCATACTAGTGCTGTTCCCAGCTTTTTCTCGCAGCGATTTGACAAGTTCAGTTCAAATGATAAAAATGGTTCTTTCGTTCTCTTGTACATACATATCAGAGAGAAAAACTTTCTCTCTGATGGTATGAAATCAAGGGGCGCGGTAGCGGCCCGAAGGCAAGTTTACATATTTACACGATCTTATTTGTGTTCGTGACAATTGTGACGTTTGAGCCTGATTCACATGCAGTTATTGCAGTTTTCATTCAACATGCCCCATGCACATGTATGCGTTGTTTTAAAAGAATATGTACTCCTTATATACGAAGAACGTGTATCTAATAAACATGGCGGCTGCCAAGTGACAACGCGTTTTGCTGTGTTAAGTGTTTTTGAGTTTTGTGTTCGTTGTATGATTATTTCTAGGCAGTACGGCAGTACTTTAAGAAACGATCATTTCGTTCCGCTGAAGGGTCAAAACAGAAATATCTTATCGGATGAACTAATTAAATAAATTTCCAACGAGACCCATCGTGGTGAATCAGAAATCATACGTGCATTTAAATCAAGGCAAGTACTTAAATACTTTCGAATATATCCAGATTTCACGCTAGGTGATTATTATTAAACTTAACAAAACGTTCGACCGATCAATTTCAGTTGAATCGACTCAATTTTATTGTTTATAAAAATATATTTCAAAAATGTTCAATCGATTTCCGATTAATCATTTCGTTAAACGTTTCATACTCCTGATATAATTAAAATCCTCTTAAGTTAATTATTCCTTTTTCTTTCAGAGAAGTGGACGTCCATAGCGAATAAAAATGCCTACACAAACAGACAATGATGATATTCGAGTGAAAATTGTTTATAATGGGTAAATCATATAATTCTTTTCATGATTTGATGTGGTAACCTTGTACTATAAAAATAACCTCTTATCATAAAAGTAAATATCCATGTGCACGGCAAAGGCTTAATATTAACTTGGTTATAGAAGTTCTATATAAAATGAGCCAATTATTACGACCATATAAATATAGCTAACATTATTTAAATAATACGTGACAATGTATTGTTATATGTAGACTACAGATTTTTCTGCAAAGTAAAAT